TATATATATATATATATATATATATATATATATATATATATATATATATATATATATATATATATCCAAGGCATATATCATGTGCATGCTGAAACTGAAGAGAAAGAGCACTAATAAGTAAGTTTATACACTAATTGTCCTTTCCTGTGTTCAAATCATTTTGGCAAGTTAAATTAGAAAGAAAAGTTATGTAGCAGTAAAGCAACATAGAACCTTTTGTATATTTCTTTCTTTTGCATGTCTGAAGTCATGAGCAACAATCAACACCTTATCAGATCTTTTGGTCTTCCTTTATTGTGGGGATCAATTTTCTCCTACTATGATGGTTAGTAAATATATAGCATTTTGTACTCTTTTTATTTCTATATTCACTTAACATATTCCATAATGCATGCTGGCATCAGATATGAGAGAATCTGCTGGAGTATGTGAGAATGATAGTAATTAAGATTAGCATAGAAAAGAACTAATATTCATTATCATTTGATGGTATGTTCCAAGATATTTGGTCCTATGTCAAAAACATCTAATCTAGTACAGTTATCTTGCCCTCTATACAGATAACAATTTGCAAACTGTGTTCTAGAATGTTTTGATCAAGGTTCGCAATTTCGGTCCTACCGGCATATTGAGCTTTGCTCAGTATGGTACGTACCATCAATACGCCTAAAATGAGCTGAAAACCCTCCAAAAATACCTAAAAATAGAAAAAAAAGTTAGGATAGGTTTTTATGTTAGAAATAAATATACATTTAGTATAGTTTTAGTAAAAATAATGTAAATTAGGTAAGAATAGTGTCACATATCTTTTTTAAGCTTTGAGGAGTAGCCTTGTGCAAGGTTCGCAATTTCGGTCCATTCCAGATCATCCTTCTGTTAATATTGAATTATTTAAAAAAAAAAATTTTAATTGTTAGATTACTTTTTATACAATTTAAACTTTAAGATTCAAATTAAGTAATCAATCTATGGATATACTTGATTCTACCACCAAAACGAACAACGAGACTCCATGGATGGTGGATCGGGATTCTCGATCGTATGTATCTATATATCAAATAATATGTTTGTCGGACCCAATCCTGAAATTGATCCCACGACATAGTGTATTGATACACTGTATGCCATTAGTGCATTAATGTGGTGATGGTGTTGTAGGCTGATTGTCATGAATCACGTGTTCGAGGCGGTTCTTGAGGCAATGATGAATGTGGCATGTATTGATGCGGAGCATAATGAATGTCAGAACTTCTATTTTTGCTACTTATCTACTGCTCCGTATCGTACTGTTGCTCTAAGAAGTATGACCAACTATCACCGTACTGTTGTTGGCCGTAAGATTCTCTATAATACGACGATTATGAATACGATGAGCTTCGTATGGTGTTTACATCGTGTAGGCTCTGTCGTATTTACTGAAAATCATCCATTGGCTTCCCCTTTCCCTTCCGTGCATAAACTTGACCAGTACCTTGTTGAGCTATATGATCTGAATCTTGGGTGGCATGCGTAAAATACTGCTCTTCGATCCATGCACCATCTTCAAATTGTGTAGATGAGACCATGATTCCCCGGCATCGTTACCATCATCGGTCGAGGCACTGCTGTCCACGTCGCCCGTGGCGTCGTTGCCATCATTGGTCAAGGCACTGTTGTCCACGTCGCTACCAAGTCTCTGGATCGAGTGGGTTGTCGAATGCGATTGCGAAGGTGTCTTGTTACCTGACTCTATTCTTTTCAATGGTGCAACTGATGCTACTGCTTTCCTCTTTGCCTTTGCCTTTGCCTTTGTATGATGGACGGATGACTGCGACGGTTGGGTGTCTTTAGTTTCTAGAGCAGTTTGACTTGATCTTGTTTGGCTCCTTTCGCCACATTCTCACCAAGGGGGATTTTTCTCTTGCTGGGGATGTGCTTCCTCTTCTTCTATTACCTCAGTGATAAAACGCAAAGGACATTAAGAATCTCCTGCCTCATTAAGTAGAGGATCCTCTTGGTTCTCCGTCGCTTCGGCCCACTCTAACATCAGCTCTGAATCTTCGTTGTAGAATTAGAGGTCATTGGGATCAATCCCCGGTTCCTTTAGCTCCTTGTCTAGCTTGACAGACTACAACTTTAGCTGCATGTTATTACTGGACATATACTAGTTTCTTCAACCGTCTATATGATAATTTGTTGTGGACCTTCATGTGAATCAATGTGAACATTGGCTAATTACGTTCGCAATCACTAGATATCGTCGCTTGTGAAAGTACACGAATGGTAACCTTCCTTAAATTTGGTGTGTCCCCTCCAAATTATAGTCATCACTCGATTGGAAAAAGATATAAATAAGATTTTATTAGCATAACAAATAATTAATATCAAATATAGTTTATAATCAATATGTGTGTAATTTTTTCCTTACCAGGATCCATATTATAACGACATGATACAGCTACAACGTCGGAGAATGAACCAATTGTTTCTCAGAATAATCAACCCTCCATAATAACATCGGCTGCATTAGCAGTGTTTGACAAGAGTCAATATATAATATTTCTTAATGTCGATAGTATATTTGATTGCGTTCGAAAACTATACTGAAATTGAATTACCGGCTTTAGATAATAACATAATTTTGTTAGTAAGAATTTTTTATTGTTATACAATAAAAAATTATAAATTAAATTATACTGAATATAAATTTACTTACATTATGGATATCTTGGTCCATATGAACTTTAGTTCTACGATCAATGATCTGTAAGTATTGGTCGATCTTAAAATCATATTTGAATGCTTTCTTGACCTCTTCTCTTATTGTAATCAGTATATGCCTAAGATAAGGCATTTGTGGATGCTTGTCCATATCAACTTTACGAAGGATAACATAAAGAAGTTTCACACCTTTTATGATTTCATTTACGGTCTCCCAAAACCTAGAAGAAAGAATGATCTTTTCCATCTTCTTTCCTTCGCTTGATCTCGAATACCTGGATTCGGACCATTCCTGTGAGGTGACCATTACCTTAAGGCCTTGTCTCTTTTGTTGTATTGACTTTAAGGCAATGAAATTTGTAGCAAACCGAGTGACTCCAAGTTTGAGTATCTCACCATTTTCATACTTTTGCATTAAAGAGTGAACCCAATGATGATTATATATAAACTTTGTAATTGACTGTGCTCGAGCTACACACTTGCTGATTGATGGTAGCTTGCTAATATCCTTTAGCATTAGATTCATGCAATGAGCTGCTTATGGAGTCCAAAACAATGTTTTTTTTCTCTAACAATTGTAAACTGACCCTCTTGAAATTTGTTCCATTGTCAGACTATTTGGACAATATATTGTGGTCCGATCTCCTCTACTACGGCGTTCATTAAGTTTTCAATATAGTTTGCATCTTGAATCTTGTTAGAAGCATTAACTAACTTATGAAACATCATTCGTTTGTTGCAATAGACAAGAAAATTGATGATACTCATTCTTGTTGGTCTTGTCCAACTGTCACACATCAGTGTCACCCGATATTCGTCCCATTGCCTTTTGAAGGGTTTGATCCAATCCTTCAGTTCTATCACATTCTCATCTAAATACACGCCGTAGATCTCCCTCGGTGTTAGAGGTTGGATCCTCGTGCTAGACTTTTGAATAAAGGAAACCATGCTTTGATAATATAGACATTGGGCTGTGTTTCCTAGAATTATATGGAAGTTGAACCATTTTGCAATTGCCTTCCTAATATCCCGCTTCTTTTCTTTTGTATATGCATCGTCAATCCGTGTTTGTTTCATTGTTTGTGGAGGATAAGCTTGCGGATCATATTAATAATATCTAGTGTGGACCTCTTGCCAAGTCCTCTCATAAAACTACGGAGTCCACCCTGCCACATGCTACTAGTTCGGCTAGGGAGGGGCAGTTGGCTACCTCATGTTGGCCGACCTCTAGATTCCTTGTGGAACAAATCCACTGCCACTGCCATGCTCCCATCGTGAGTCAGGTCGTCGATGTCTCATTGCTTTCTCGTATATATATTGATGTTCCAGTGATGCACGAATACCAACTGTCAGATTTGGGTCGATTTCATCGCCACGACCCTCATAGTCATCATAAACTGGTTCCTGCATAGTTCTATAATATTCTTCCTTAGCTTTTGCCTTCTTTTTTATTGTATTTTCTCTTGCTTGTTGTAACTTGTTTTGAAATGGTTTACGGATCTCCATTAGAACCTTCTTGCATTTTGCAACATCAGGATACCCATCGGCCAAATGCCTCTTCACTCGGGTAATTCCTCCATCTTTGCCGATGTAGTCACAATAAATGCATTACCAATGATGACAGTTCTTATCCATCTTTCGGTATGATTTCAAGCGTCATCATGTACTTATTCCTTTGTTGCCATATTCCTATTAAATTTAAATCAAATAATCTATAAACATGTCAAGCACCCTGATAGGTATTAAAGACATTGAATTGACCTAATGTTGATCAAATTTTGATTAATTCATTATTATTAAAATTACTAATCGTAGTATTAAAAAATTAATTAAAATCTAATTAACTTTATTATACTATCATAAATATGTTAAACAAATAAAAGTAGCATTAAATACTTTATTTTGATCTAATATACATCAAATTACGATGAAATCATCATTAGATACACTAGTCATATTATTAACATCGTTAATTATCCATTAATTATTTCTCTTTCAACACTATAAACTTGTCAAACACTCTAGTAGTCATTAAAGACATTTAATTGACCTAATATGGGTTAAATTTGGATATCATCGTAATTAAATATACTAATCACAATATTAACATAGTTAAGTAATTCGTAATTGGTTCTCTGTTATCACTATAAACATATCAAACACTCTAATAGGTATTATAGACATTGAATTGACCCAATATCGATCAAATTTTGATTAAATCATCATTAAAACCACTAATTGCAACATTAAAAACTTAAATAAAACCTAATTAACTTTATTTTACTACTATAAATATGTTAAATATAAAAAATATTGAATACGTAATTTTGATCCAATATAGGTTAAATTACGATGAAACCGTCGTTAGATACACTAATCACACTATTAACATAGTTAATTACCTGCTAATTATTTTTCTTTCATCATTATATATATGTCAAAACACCTTAATAGGTATTAAATACATTGAATTGACCCAATATCGATCAAATTTTGATTAAATCATCATTAAAACCATTAATCGTAGCATTAAAAAACTTAATTAAAACCTAATTAAACCTATTATATCATCACCAACATATGATCCAATCCTTAATATACATGAAATATAAACATTTGACCTATTAAGTGTCTAATTTCGAATAAATAAATATTAAACACACTAATCACAACATTAAAGATCTTAATTACTCATAACTAATACTATTCTACCATCAAAAGCATATCAAACAACATATTAGACATTAAGTCATACATCACATAGAATAGGCTTAATCATCTCATAAATCAATAAAAATCTAGAAAGAGAATACATACATCTTGATTAAAAAGTTCTTCCTTTTAATCCTCCTAAATTAACCTTCTAAATTTAACCTAATCCATAAATTTTTGTTTTGTTGAGTTTAGAAGAGTGAAAATGTGAGAATAAGATAGAGATGTGAGTGAAAAAGAGTTTGAGAGAGTTTAAGAGATTGCGAGAGTGAAATAAATTGAAAGAAGGGGGAGGAAATGGTTTAAAAACTCTTTAGGTTGCCTCCAATGGTCAAATTGACTATTTGAAACTCGATATAGGTCGATAACGATTGGATTTCGACCGTTACCATCCAATATAGCCCTATATCGCTTGATACGGGGTCAAAACATTGGTATCACCCGGTAGCGGGCAGTCCGTGTGCCGAGAAGCTCTCGGACCGGTATGTACCACCTGTACTGGGCAGTATGCATCGATAACGCAATCCCCTTGGTTTTGAGACCATTCAATAGTATTCTCACTATTATGTTTAATAGTCGTGGGAATTCACTGGTAGGACTATGGGCATCCTGTTGGATTTCTAATTCTATATATTTGTATATTCTTTAATGTTGTATTTTCCGCATGCTGAACAAATATTTCTCAAGCTGTTATTTGAAATTAGAAAGTGAACTGCTGAGGTTCTTGAGACTTAAACATGACCATTTCTAGCCCTTTTACCATTCATTCATCTAAATCAGTAATATAATTTACATAGAAGAAATACTGCAAGATCAAGCTGTATATTGTTTGGATATATGAATGGTACCTGGCTTCGCAAGAAGTATTGTCTATGATGTTCCATTTCGCTACAAACAAATTATACTATTATAGTATAGAAAAAGTGCTGAAAGCTATTTGAGAACAAATTGTATCACTTAAAAAGATTTGTGTAAAGAACTTGGACTTATGTGGTGATAATTAATGACAAGTTGCTTCATATTAGTAGACTGAGTTTGCATAATTTCAGTTTCCTAATTGGTATCACTATTTTATGTTGTTTGATAATTCATCTATGATGGGTGCAATATTTTGAGATACTGCCTTTATTGCACAACTTTATTTAGTGTTCTCTTAGCTACTCTTTATGAATTACAATTTTAACTCAGAAATATTGATGATACCCAAACAAACTATTTTGCAGGTTGTATCAGCAGTAATACTGAGTTATTGATGGTGATTTTAACACTAAATGTGAAGAGAAAAGAAAGGTCTGTCTTCTTTGCATTGTTCTTCTATGTTGTCTTAACATTTTTAGGTTATATAATTGGAAACTAGAACCACGAGAACTATTTTAAGATTATGTTCAATAGGAAATGATACACAACCAACACGTTAGCATCTGATAGACAGCATTAGTTAACTGTGTAATCTTGAAGCATTGAGTACCTCTACGGGATAAGTTCTCTAACAAAGGCTAAATTTGCTTTTCCACTTGGTTATCTCATATTCCAGAATGTAATTATTGAGTAACCAATGTATTGGGGGTACATGATACTAAATAAGACTATTGAGAAGCCTCATTGGATTAATATTTTACGTTTTTGCATTCAAGGCAAACAATTGTTCCCTTTTTTATGTTTGTCTAAATTGCAAGACATTTATTAACTGGCTTATGTTTACAGTTCACAGATTAAATAAGAGAAGTACTTGCTGCTTTGAATGAGTTCTTTGCCTATATTTGGATCTGGATTTGGTCTTCTTACCCCTGGTTTTGATGGTATGTCAGTGGCTTTTTTATGAGATACCCATGAATTGGTTCATTGATGCCCAAATAATGGAGCAGAAGACTGGTTATCTTAGTGATAAGAGCAATCTGTGGTTGGAGTTGTTGAAGAAGTTCTCAATAAAGGATTGGAAGAATAACCTTTGCAACCGCTTATTTGGATCAAAGAAGGTTAGAGGGACCTGGTGGAGGAAGCTGCTGCTCTTATGGATAATTGGATGGTTCCTTGGTTCTCTATGGATCTTCTGGTTTATGAACTCCCAAGCAGTGGAGAAGAGGCGAGAGATGCTAGCAAGCATGTGTGATGAGCGTGCTAGGATGCTTCAGGACCAGTTTAATGTCAGCATGAACCATCTTCAGGCCCTAGCTATCCTGATCTCGACCTTTCACCATGCTAAGGATCCATCTGCCATTGACCAGGTACTGCCTTCTACCTGAAATATTCCTACCTTCAATTGAATATACATCAATGTGTATCTTTTGTCTAGTCCAAATTATTCATTCACTGATTTGATTACAATAGTTATGTGTTTAATTCTGATTCCTCAAAAAAGCAGACATGCATTACTATAATGCAACCTTCTGCCCTTATCAAAGATCAACAATGTGGAAGATGATCCCTTTGTTTGCAGATAACCTTTGCTCGATATGCTGAAAGGACTGCTTTTGAGAGACCACTGACGAGTGGTGTGGCATATGCTGTGAAGGTGTTGCGTTCAGAAAGAGAACAGTTTGAGAAGCAACAAGGTTGGAAAATTAAGAGAATGGATTCAACAGAGCAGCCTCCAGCTCGGGAAGAAGACGCAGATCTTGAGAACCGGGATGAATATGCTCCAGTTATTTTTGCCCAGGACACTTATAGGCATGTAATTTCATTTGACATGTTAACTGGAAAGGTAAGACATTAGATATGCTTTTCAGTCTGTCCCTTTTTCTGTCATCTATGAACTATAATCACAAATGCCTCAGAAGTCAGATTGTGCTGGCTATGGTAGGATAAAAAAATAGATTATATGCAGTTTCTTCTGTCGTATTTGTTTAAACTTATTTATTTTATTGACTACGTTATATGCAGTTTCTTATTTTATGCAGGTCTAAACTTATTTGTTTTATTGAATTCTAATATTTAGTACAGTTTATTGGTCATTTTTACTGTCTCCAATTAGACACATTTATATATCACATATGAGCTATTAATTGATGCATTGATGTCTTTAAATTTATTCTAGTGTTTTCAAATTTTTTTAGTGATTAACTAAAAATTATCAATGGTGTCATTGTAATATGAATGGTGTCATTGTAATATGAAGCCTTTGTTAATCATCATTTAGCTAATATATGTATTATTAATGTTATAAATGTTATCACTTTGTGTTAGACTATGCAAACTATTAATTTGCTAGAAATAAATATTTATTTGGGTGACTCAACAAATTTTGTGCAGTTTGGAAAGCTTATTGGGGTTTCTTTATAACTATTAGTCACTAATTTGCTTATGACATTCTCAATATCTAACTCTAATATGATGTTAATTCTTATAGAAAATAGGTTATTCTAATGTGAGTAATTAATATTTCTTCAATTAATAGGGAAGGTTTTGGTGGTCAGATGCATTGCTTGAACAATAGTGTCAGTATGTGAAACTTTTAAAGTACATGATTATGCTTGCATGTTTCTATCAAATCTATTAATGTCTAGAACTATGACTTGTATCATTGAAACATCCTCAGTGAACTAATTGTTTTTGGGAATACATCTGAAACCTGTGTCTTGTTCTTAGTATTCCAGCAACTGAAAGATAGTTCCTTATGCAGGAAGATAGGGAAAACATCCTACGAGCTAGGGAATCCGGGAAGGGTGTTTTAACTGCTCCTTTTCGGCTCTTAAAATCAAGAAGACTTGGTGTTATTCTGACATATGCAGTTTACAAGTCAGAACTCACTTCAAAAGCGACACCAGCTGAACGCATCCAAGCAGCCATAGGGTAAATTAGCTGTTAATTATGTATTAATAGCTCCTAAATCAGAAATAAACATACTTATCTAGAATGTCTATCCTCCACAATTCAACTATATAATGCATCAATCTGGCATGTGCAGGTATCTAGGTGGAATCTTTGATGTAGAGGCTCTCGTGGATAAGTTACTTCACCAACTTGCATGCAAGCACTCCATGATGGTCAATGTTTACGATAAAACCAATCCTGATGAACCAATTATTATGTATGGTTCAAACATGACCAATGTTGGTCTATACCATATTAGTACCCTTAATTTTGGTGATCCAATAAGAAAGCATGAGATGCACTGTAGGTAATTTACATGACACTGCTAGCAAGTTCTGATTTAGAAGAAAGCTATATATTGATCAGGATGTGAAACAGAAGTAATATAATATAGACAAATTTTACATTTTCGCAACAGGTTCAAACAAAAATCTCCATTGCCATGGCTTGCAATAACAACATCAATTGGAACCCTTGTTATCGCTTTACTGGTTGGATACATATTCCATGCTACTGTCAGCCGAATTGCCAAAGTAGAAGATGATTATCGACAAATGATGGAACTTAAAGGGCGGGCTGAAACAGCAGATGTTGCGAAATCTCAGGTACATGTTTTATGTTTGCAAGGAGCTGCAGATTGGTCTTCTTTTCGCTGATGTCTCTGATCCAGATGTGCTTAGTTTACAACCATGATATCACTTATTTTGTCTTGTCTCTTCAGTTCTTGGCGACTGTTTCTCATGAAATCAGAACTCCAATGAATGGTGTATTGGGTGAGTACAAGATTACCATAACTGATGTTCTGTTATAAATATCAAGTTCAGACATCAATATATTTCTTACTTTTCAGGGATGCTTCAAATGCTTATGGATACTGATCTAGACATAACACAAGAAGACTATGTTAGAACTGCCCAAGCCAGCGGAAAAGCTCTGGTGTCACTTATAAATGAGGTTCTCGATCAAGCAAAGATTGAATCGGGTAAACTTGAGCTTGAAGCTGTCCCATTTGACTTACGGGCAGTATTGGATGATATTTTGTCACTTTTCTATGGAAAGGCTCAAGAGAAAGGACTAGAGGTATCTGTGAGTTTCCATAATCTTCTAAATATAATATTTTGATGTTTCATCAACTAATTTTCTTGGTTGCTGTTCAAATTAACTTGGTAGTTGGCAGTGTATGTCTCTGATCAAGTTCCTGATGTCCTTGTTGGTGACCATGGAAGAATACGCCAGATTATCACAAATCTGATAGGAAATTCAATAAAAGTAAGTATTTATCTTTGTATCAGCTGCAAATATGGATACTAAATCTGCTACATGTATTTAGAAAAGTCCTCATTTTGCAGTTCACAGAGAGAGGACATATATATTTGACTGTCCATATTTTTGAGGAGGTGTTGAATTCATTGGACAAGGAAGTAGAAGTCCATTCCACAGATACCTTGTGTGGCTTTCCAGTGGCAAATAGAAGGCGTAGCTGGGAAAGCTTTAAGAATTTCAAGCTGGAACTTCCTGCATCTGATCCATCTCTTCTGTCAACCTCTTCCAATCATATAAATCTGATCATATCTGTTGAAGACACCGGGGTGGGGATTCCTCTAGAAGCCCAGTCCCGTGTGTTCACTCCTTTCATGCAGGTGGGACCTTCAATTTCTCGCATTCATGGGGGAACTGGTATTGGACTCAGCATTAGTAAGTGTTTAGTTGGCCTCATGAAGGGAGAAATTGGTTTTGTGAGTCAACCTCAGATTGGTTCCACTTTTACCTTCACAGTGGTCCTCACAAGGGCTTGCACTAATTCAAATGAGTACAAGTCATCAGAATTTCATGGGATGATTGCACTAGTAGTCGACCATAGACCAGCCCGAGCAAAGGTCACAAAATACCATCTTCAGAGGTTGGGAGTAAATGCTATACTGGAAATTGATCCAAATCAAGTTCTTTCTAGATTAACTAGTGGAACATCGACAATAAATATGGTGCTAGTGGAAAAGGAAACATGGTCGAAAGATTCTAGCATTTGGCCTTTTATTATTAGCAAATTAAAGGGTAATCAATTGGATATACCAAAAATTCTCCTTTTAGCAAATCCTACAAGTTCTGTTAAGAATAACGCTTCTAGTTCAATGGAATATATCTCGACTATAATCACAAAGCCACTCAGAGCAAGCATGCTTCAAGTATCTTTACGGCGAGCTATGGGTTGTGGAGATGGGGAACATTCCCGAAATGGCCGGCTTCCCCAGTTGTCATTGCGTGGCCTTCTTCATGAGAAGCAGATTCTTGTTGTTGATGACAATATTGTGAATCTTAGAGTAGCATTTGGTGCTTTGAAAAAATATGGAGCTGAAGTAACTTGTGCAGAGAGCGGAAAGAAGGCCATAGGCATGCTCAAGCCTCCACATAAATTTGATGCTTGTTTTATGGATATTCAGATGCCTGAAATGGATGGGTACGTTTCTTTTACTTTCTTTGTCATTAATCTTCTTTTATGATCCTTTAGAATGAATTCTTCATGCATATGAATTTTCTGTCTTCTCATATACTAGGAAATTTCCTTGTAATGAAATTTGCATCAGATGTGAATTTTCTGTTCACATTTCCGTACACTTTTAAAAACAGTTTATCAGTTTACAGTTTTGATCCTATTTAATTAAAGTGTTTTTTTTTCTTTAGATTTGAAGCTACTAAAAGGATACGTGAGATGGAGGCCGATATAAATAAGCAAATAGAGTGTAGGGAAGTTCCAGTTGAGACTTTTGAGAACGTCTTGCACTGGCATGTTCCTATATTAGCCATGACAGCAGATGTAATCCAGGCAACACATGAGGAGTGTCTAAGGTGTGGAATGGATGGCTATGTGTCAAAGCCTTTTGAAGGGGAACAGCTTTACAGGGAAGTCACTCGGTTTTTCAAACAGCCACAAAAAAGAATCGATAATGAAGTTAAATGTTGAGGATATGCATATGATAGGATGTTGGTACATGTATTCATCGGCTTCAGCATCAGGCACTGTCTGATAGAATATAGAGGTGGTTTTGAAAAGTAAGCACCTCCCAACTCATCTTATTGCTGCTTTATATCAACCATTTTCTTTTTATGTCTGCAAGTGCTTAGAATACTGAAAAGATTTTGCTAATATGTTACATTGTATAAACTTCCTTGAGTTCATTTAATTAACTAATGAACAATTAAATACATACAAACCTTGTCAATGATCAAGTAGAAAATGTCTACAAGCTTATTTCGTCATTTACCTTTGCATGCTTTATGATTGTTAAAAATGGCTACATATTGTCCCTGAGCTGATGCAAATGCAAATTTGCAAAATGATCCAGATAGTGCCAACCATTATTTTGTTTTAAAATGTAATTTATTGGAAAATCTGAAATGTTGACTATTAAATGACACTCCATGTGGGAGGTACTCTTACAGAATTAGATACCAGACCTTCTAGAGAATAAAAGCTAACAGGATGGATGTTAGGTGACTAGGCATCAGCAATCTTATGATATCAGCTTCATATATATATATATATATATATATATATATATATATATATATATATATATATATATATATATATATATATATATATATATATATATAATCATAATTGAAAACTAAGTCAGTTACAAACAAAAGAGAGTACTTTGTACTTTGTAGGTCTTTTTAGTTTTGAACCGAAGAGAATTTGATAGTCAAATTATCATTTTATGGTGAGTTTTCTCACCTAAATTAATCATCAATCATATTTAACTGCAGATAAACAGCAAGCGCAACAAATTTGAAGGTCCTGAATCTCCTTATCATGGAATCATATTAAAGCTGATTAACTTTTTTAAGTGACTCTTAAAGCTGAGAACCTGCTAGGATAATTTTGATCTAGCATTGAAACCTTCTTGTAAATGATTGGTATGTAGTTACTCATTATGGACGAAGCATCCAAATCCTACTTAATATTAATTAATAGGAATTAGTAATATGACCACTTAATGAATATAATAATCCATGCAAATGCAAGTATGGGTGGTCTCTAAGTAATTCTGAGCCTTTTGACACCCTCACTAGAAAAGTAGGACTCAGCTTTAGATTTTATTAAGTTTATGTTGATATTTTAGTCCTAATTTTATTCTCCATGGCCATAGACATATAGTATTATACTTCATTGAATTTAAAATCACATCAGTGGTTGGAATGTTGGATCTAGAGTTTAAGATTTTTGTAGGTTTTTGAATTGATCAACTTGACACCAAAAAAAAAAAAATCTGAATATACCTTATAATGTAAGGCTTATAGGTGTCTCAACACATGAAGTATTAATGAATTCTTGAAGCAAAGCTTTAATTCAATAAATTTCTCTGACACTTTAATATAATGTAAGAGTCTGAAAATAAATATGTTTTTGCCATCATCTTTTGCTAATTCTTATGCTAACTACTCAATTAGGTTTAGGTTTGTGAGTTAGCTGAGCTTCGATCTTCTCTTGTACTTGTACAATTATCGATGAGCCTCAGAACAACCAATCAAATGAATCTGTTCTTATCAGAAACCATGATTATATTAACCTTCCTTGCATGTACTTCATTGACTCATTAATGTTGCTGGATATTGTCATGTCCAGTCCTTTGACCTTGAACACTAATTTACCATGAATCTTACCCTTAGATTGTAGCTGAGGAAGGCTGAAAATGATCATAATGCCATAGACCATAGCATGTTGCAAAATTTGTGAATTTCTAGTATATGTGAAAGAAATATTTAGATCCGCAGCCTAACCTGCCAACTAATGACCTAAGGAAGAGGATTCCAGTCAATATCACTTCTGACCAAAGGAACTACAATTGATAAAATTGATTTAACTAGACTGTATTCTGTTACCCACTTTAATGTGTTTTCCCTAGTAGGAAATGTGATCAAAGCAACTTTACAGAATTTAACTTTTTAGAATCTTGAGACTGTAGAATGAAGCAAGATTCTCCAATGGACTCAGGATACAATTGGGAGATCTATCAAGCTATGCTCTATTGACTTCCCTAACCATATACTGCAATTGTCTCAATTTTCATCGGCATATTGTTGTGTTAGAAAGATCAAAATCTTGGTAAAATCAAGAGCTTAAAAGTGTAAGTACTGTAGGGGTGGACCGATGGTATATAATGAAGACAATTTGGCCTTCATCTGCAAATGAGATCATAACAGTAAAGTCTTAATTAACAATTGGCATTTCATTTTCTACACTGAGCAATAGGTGTAGCCTTTGCTGAAAGCAGTTACTAATATCTTAGAACTATCAAACTAGAAGTGCAGAAGGTACTGATATTTCAGAACTACCAACCTAGTCATTTAGATGTTTAAAACCTTAATATCTTGCAGGCATAAAATATCTGCTTAGTCACTGTTTTAGGGTATACTAGAACTGCAATCATCAGGTCCAGTTCTTGCATGTTAAACCTTATAGAACATACATATCCATGATTTTTATCATCCTACCAGTTATATTAAATGAGCACAATAGGTTGAGAATTAGAACAGTGTAGGTGCTGAACAGTGTAGCGCATCTCATCCAACCCATGGTAATAAAATACAGTCTAAGCAGCTGTTGCATACGAGGTCATCTGATTGCATTTCATAGGGCCTTTGCTGCCTCAATATGTAGCATGACTGCATATGCAATGACATAAATCTGGTTGGCCACTTATGCATCCCTGGTAGTCATGTTATGCGATTACATATATAGCCATGTAAAAACATGCAGTTGCATATGTCTGAATTTGCATAAATATGTGATTACTAATTATGGTTTATATTTTCTCCCTAGTGTTATCTTTCTACAACCATTACTTTTTGTGTTGTAGAACAAAATCAACAACAACAACAAAAGGTTGTAAGCCTCAACTATTTGGGGTCTGTTACATTTATCTTTTTCCACCATTGAGATCAGTTGCCATTGAAATCAGTTAAAAATCATATGTTACTTAAGCTAAGAGTACTTAAATCTTTATTTATAGTTTCTATTAAAATATATTTTAGGTCTTCCTCTATCTCTCCTTATACCAATAGCAGTAATCATTTCACCTCTTCTAACTATCACACTCAGGTCTTTTGAACGCCTCTTCTAAGTATCACCTCTTAAATGGTTCTTTCTCATTTTTTCCTCTATCGAAGAGATACATAATTGTTCACAAATAAAATTATTATTTTTTTATCTTTTCTAATAACTCCATATATTCACTTGAATATTTTTATCTTAACAATACAATTTTTTTGTATATGTTATTTCTTAACTAATCAACACTCAGATCCATAAAAAAATTGTTAGTCTAATAATTATCTTATAAATTTTTGTTTTAATCTCAAAGGTATTCGATGATCATACAAACTCTTGATACTCTTTGTCATTTTAACCATCCTATTTTTATCATATGAATAATATATTCATCAATCATTCTAGCTTTTTAAATAATTGACCCAAAATATCTAAACCTTTTACTGAAAGGAACTTCTTATCCATCAAACTTAACTATATCCTCTTATCTATTCTTAGTATTGCTAAAATTACATCTCATATATTCAGTTCTAGTTATACTTAATGTAAAAACTTTAGTTTCTAAATATTGCCTCCATAACTCAAGTTTAAAGTTGATTCTATTTAGACTCTCATCAACTAAGACTATCATTAGCAAATTACATACACGAGGGAGGTCTATCTTGTAAATAGCTAGTAAGTTCATCCATTATCAATGTAAAAAGGTAGAGACTTAATGCAGATTCTTAATGTAACCCTATACCTAGGGGAAACTCACTAGACATACTCGTTACACGTCTAATACTAGTAGCTACATTATCGTATATATATGCCCTTAATAACATAAATATAATTAGTGGATATACTTTTGTTTTTTGAAATCCACCATAATAAATCTTTGGAAATTATATTATAGGCTTTCTTTAAATCAATAAAAGTCATATGCAAATCTATTTTTATCTCTATACACTTATTCAGTAATTGTCTTAATAAATAAATAGATTCTATTGTTGATCTTCCAAGCATAAAATCAAATTGATAAATATTTGTTTTAAGCCTTATCCTACTTTCGATAACTCTTTCCCAAAGTTTCATAGTATGACATGATTTTAATTCTATTGGAATTAGTACTAGAAATAGAACAGTTATATATGTCACTCTTATTCTTGTAAATTGGTATTAAAAAACTATTTCTCCATTCATCAAGCATCTTTTTAAATCTTATAATTTTGTTAAATAAGTTAGTTAACCAAGCTACTTCTTGGTCTTTTAAGCTTTTTCAAACCTCAATAGAGATATCATTAGGTCTCACACTCTTGACTATTTTCTATCTTTTTTAAGATGTCTTTTACTTCGTTAGTTCTAATTTTACTAACAAATCCATGATTATTAAATCTACCACTACTATCTATCATTAAGGCTAAGTCATGTGTTGAATGTTCATTAAATAATTTATAAGAATAATTTCTCTATCTTTCCTTAATTTCATTATCATTAATAAGGATTCTTTGATCTTTATATTTAATGCATCTAATATTGCTTAAATCCTTATACTTTTTTTTTCTTAACTTTAGCAATTCGATATATATCTTTGTCTCTATCTTTAGTGCCTAATTTGTTATGAAAATTATCATAAGCTTTACATCTTGCCATATGAACACGTCTTTTAACGTCTTTTTTAGATTTTTTATATCTTTTAAATTTATCCTCATTTTTATAAATTTGTCAATCTTTAAAACATAATCTTTTAATAATAATTGCTTTCTGAACTTCCTCACACAATCATCAACTTTCTCTTAAGGCTACATCTCTATCTTTAGCTTCACCAAGGATCTCCTTTGTTAAACTCCTAATCTTATTAGCCCTTATAGTCCAAATAAATATTAATATTATCTTCGTCTAATTCTCAAGTCGTCTTCTTTTTCCATCCTATTTTTAGAAATCCTTACATCATCTTAAAATTTCACCATATAGTCTTAGTAAATGTTCTACTATCTTTTTTTTTCATTTTCAATAATAAATATCTAATACCATCAACCTATGTTTATTCGTCAAACTTTCGTCAAATGTAACTTTATAATTCTTACATATAATTTTATCTACCTTTCGAGTGAGAAGGTGTCTCGCGTCGCTTTCGGATGATGACCTAGACCTATACTAAAATCGGTTAAGATCCATGTCCATGAGATCTTACATAATTTTACATTAGCTATCAGTGACCTAACGTAACCCTCCACCTATTTCATCCGGTGTTATAAAACAAAATTAGCAAATATAAATCACATCCCATGTAGCATTTCATATTTAATTAAATGCACCATTTTGAATAGTTTAGACCTCTAGTATGTACTCCATATTCATCTGCATACTGAATGTTCAGAGTTATCTATCAAAATAGAAAAAGCCCTGCAAATTTTCGGCTAGGATACATGGAGCCTAAGCATTTTTATAAATCATTTATGCTACAGTATAAATTTTCAAGTCTATCTACCAAGGGATAACATATGCTCCAAAGATTCTATCTGAAAATGTGATTGAAACCCAAAAAAGTATATTATTTGATAAATTACAAAGGAATGAGTGTGAAGAAATCTTTCAGATGAAACAAATAACACACCATCTGTAATTTGATAAATGTCTCTGTACTTTTAGCATCAGCATTTCTGTATTTTTCCTATCTAGTTGTGCAACAAGATAATAAGAGACACATAATCAGCAAAATCGTAAGTTTAAATCTTAAAAACTTGCAGTGATGTCTTGCAAAAAGTTGTACTCTAAAAAATTTTATGACAGAATAAAACCAAGCTAAAAATGCACGATTATGTTTCAACCCAATACAGTAGGATTTGAAGTATGCATTTTAACAATACATCGTCATAAAACTGAGGATTTCTAGTTCAAATACTCGAATTAGAGTGTTTAGAGTACTATGCCTATCATTGATATATGGAGACGACATCAGAGAAGAATATTGTGCCAATGAGAAAATGTTTTATGCTCTGGCTTGAGTGGAAAGGCTTCTCTCCAGGTTTGCATGTCAAAACAACTGCACAATTACATCTAGGTGCTTGTTCTTTGAAACACATAGTTTATGAAGTTAAATAACGTTCCAAAGGATTAACCTTCTCTTTATCGTACTGATCTAGATATGTCTTCTAAAATAAACAGTATTGTTTCACCTTGATGTTTCTGATGAAGCTTAGGGTCATGGATTAAAAACTTTGTTCAATATTGATATTGAGCATGGAAAGAACTGATATATTACTGGTTGATATCAGTTGGATTAGTGGCGAGAGGAGAGAGAGGATGTGGGGCGTAAAGTGGAGGAGGAGGAGGAGCAGTGGTAGTGATGGGGAGGAGAAAATGATGTCAGGGAGAAGAAAAAGGCAGAAGAAGAGGTAGAGAAACTGAAGAGAAGGAAAAAGAAAAAGAAAGGGGTGGTATTGCCTGGTATCACTGTGTACTGTTAGCTTACTAGGCACCTGGTGGTTTTAGATCAGACTAGGAAAAATTGCTTGGTTCATGTACTGATCAACAGTTGGACTGATTAGAACATGCTTAGGGGGCTTTATTAGCCTCACCAGGTTGTATTATGTAAATATGATACTTTCTGCACAAGAAAAATACATTTCCATTCGCTTATATCTTTGATAGAAAAAGGATATTATCCCGATGTGTTCATGGAGAAGGTGTAAGCTCTTTTTCCTGTGCATTCACCAACTTAATATGTTAAAATAATCACTAATAGCTATGTTGGTCAATTCACCAAGGGTTTTCCATTGATATAGAAGCCTTCATTTGGCATGTCAAGTTGGGTCCCCTTTATATTGGATTGTTCATCATGTTCATGGATTATGCATACAGTGCACATCAACTTGGTGATGATTTTTCTCTGTATGTCAGTATTTATGTAAGATTTAATTCTCATAACTAAAATTGGCCTTTTCCATTCTTCTTGCAGGGGTGAGAGTTGGAGATGATCTGATCTTTGCTTGTTCTCCTCCCACTTGGTTCCACCTAATTTTTACCCTTGCTTGATACCAAGATTTCTGTGAGCTGCACAACCTTGATGCAATTTTCGTTCTCGATACAGTATGAAGGAGAAACACCTCTTCTGGCCTGGATGGAAACCGTCGATGTTCTCTACCTTGTTCCATAAAGTGGATTTCGAAATGTTCTAAATTTCCCCCCTGGAGTATACAGAGTGTACATAGATTAACAGTCATTTTACATTTTTTTTTTCCCTATTTACTTGCTGAGTATGTGATAAATATGTGTTCTTCAATGAATATGTGATAAATATGTGTTCTTCAGCAATGAAAGAATTCGATGATGTAAATTAAAAATATTTAATAAAATTCGTTTCCACGAGTTGGATTCTGCACTTGGTGTCGAGTCAATGCCCTCTTATGTGACTTGGCATTCCTAAGCATTTGTCTGGTGATCTGTTGAAATTTGGCTCTATCAATTTGCGTGATATGCTAACATTTTCGTTTTAAGAAACCTATTCAGGCTCCCCAATCAACGATCATTACATCTGAATTCAGTTTTCAGCTGCCAGAGTAGAAGACCATATTAACACATTCCTTTCACGATTCCAAAGCATATTGTTGCAGAAGCTTTCAAAACCCATTGAAATATCTTCCGGTGATGATATATTTTATCCAACTCACTGATCCTGAGATTTTCTGTTTAGCACGGACACGATGCAGCAGCAAATCTTCTACTGAATGCCACCGCTTGGGATCATGTCACAGCACCACTAAATGTACATCTTTTCATGTTGCAGATACCTTGCAATTGTCTTACATATATTAGCTTCAGCAGATTTCATATGTTAATCCTTGTTTTGTCACTAACTGAGTTATCACCGTAACCATCGATCAAAATGATTAAGCTAAAATTGATAATAATAGTACGTCAGACTTCTTATAAGCTAAATTTAATCTAGACTTCTTATAAGCTAAATTTAATCTTTCCGATATGAAACTTAAAAGTGTTTCATATCCAAATCCACCACCAACAATTCCTCTCAAGTTTGAGAGAAAGAATAATGCTAATGCTGAGCCAATGAACCCAACAAATATCAAATGAATAAAAGATAGATACTCCAACAACAGTGGCATCGCAGTCGAACGAGAATTCAAACCAGCAGAATCCTCGTTGATCTTCTGCTGTCGATTGCACCGATTGAACTCCATTCCAACTCAAGTGACCCGATTTGTTCTCCAAAATCCAAATACTAGCTAAATGCTATCTCCAGTATCATGTGTTCCCATTTTAGACACTATTTTATAGCTCAAGAATGTAGCAGTACACGCTACCATTGAAACGTATCATATACAGTCAATAACAAACAAGAAGAGGAAAAATAGTGCGTCGACTCTCAGCATTTCAACCTTTGATAACTAACTTTTACACCAAATCCAAAATCATCAATCATGCAGCAAGGAGAACATAGACCGACTGGTTGCTTCTAAAATTCAAGGGTCAGTTCACATCCAAGTAAAAACAAATGCTTAGGATCATGCTAAAACTAGCTGATGTGACTACCACCGTTTGGAACCATGCAACACGACAACCAAATTACGTTCGTTTGGATGCCTACAGACAGTTTGCTTCACCAAATCTAATAATGTGTTTCATGTTACTATGGCCTAACGGAAAGCATGAACAATGTAAAATCTTAGATCTCAAAAGCATAATTAGGATACAAGATGTTCTTAAGAGGATCAGGCATGAAAACTTTGTTCTCTTCATCTTTTTTTGAAGCCATACTTTTTCCGCTCGTAGAAGAGATCCGTCTTGGCACTGCCTAGATTAACTATCTTGGGACAGCCATCGCGATCCTTCTCTTGCTGAGTGCACTCCTTGCAGTAGTATGCATCAGATATGCCAACACCCCCACAGATGACACACCTGCTCTGGAAAGAACCATAATTGCACTCATCGCAGACACGTACAAGTGTGCATGGTCGCACATATGAATCGCAGATGACACACTTGCCATCACACTTCTCGCACAGGTGGCCAATGGCAATTCCTGGCTGCTTCCGGCACATAATAAGATCGGGATGGTGCTTAGCCATGATCCTTAATTTGATGCTACTTTGTCAATAACCTGCAAAACAATTTTAAAACCCGAACCTGTGAGGGTCATTTTAGTTACTTTAATCTCCTTGTTGCTAGACAAACAGACAACACAGACAAATCTTATGTCCTCAAGTGTAGAGATTGTTCGTTGGATCAACTATTCTTGGATCTTATTACATACGAGTAATCTTGTACAAGCTTGGGAGTGTCATGGCTGGGTTGCAAGGATAGAACTGGTAGTCCTAAGATCGTTACAAATTTAATTATTACACACCAAATGATATCTCTGATTTGTACTAAGCATTTTTGAGCGCTAGGTCCAAAAAATGATAGTAATGCAGCACTGATGATGATGGTAAGATCGAGTACGTTGCAGATCAAGATATGAAGTTATGTTAGCAGAGAGACCACACACAGTGCAAAATTTAGATGGTCACTGTCAGGATAGATTGAAGAGTAGGACAGTCAAATAGAATGAAATTCAATGTAAGCAATTTCTCTATGGCATAGTGTTAGCTTTGAATTTTGATAACACTAAATACCATAATAATTTTGATCATAAAGATTCCATTAATAATCTAAATAAACTAAACTATATATGAGGATATTCTGACAAAGCAGGACAAGAAACATAACTGTACAATATAATATCCCTGAAACTATTGGAATCTTCCTTCAATCCCTACTTTAGCTAATCCCAGATCCACCCATGATCAAGTCACTAACCACAATGGAGCAAAACATTTAGAGAACAATTACAACAAAAGGAGATCCTGCCTTTTTATATATTCTCACATCTCCGTAAGTTGCATGTATATACATGTTTGTCATCTATAGTTTACTAGTTAGTGATGTAGGGTCAAAATATTCTCTCTATCGACTCAATAACATAATTATTAGAACAGGGCTAGGCAATGAGCAGATCAGGCCTTGGGTCACTGTGTCATTATTAAATTGGTAGATTAATTGGTTTGACAGCATATTTAACAAAAAAATTAAACGATACAATCACATAAAAGATATTGAAAGCAATGAAGTCACTTGGCACCTAGGCGCTCACCTAGGTGCCCGAAAAAGGTAAGGCAAGGCCTGAGTGCTCGCATATTGGGCTAGGCATGCATTTTCACTCAAGCGCGACCGAGGCGCTTGCTTGGGCCCAAGCGCTGGGTGGGTCGGGTGCTCGCTTGGTTCCAATCAGGCCAGGTCATGCTTGAATCAAACCAAACAATCCTATCTAGTTGATTGAACCAATTATCCATTGAGCCTAAGTCAAACCATACACAAGACAACTGGTTCGATTGAACCAGTTATCTATTGCAAAAAGCCAAAAACCATGCACGAGGAAGAACCCTAATGCAAAGTCCCTCTTTCCCACTGTGTTTATGCACGACGACGAAGTTCCTCCCATCGACGAATGACGACAGCAGCCTTCTTCCCCGACGATGTCTTCCTCCAACGATGACGACAGCGACGACATCTTCATCCGACAATAGCGGCAGTGTCTTCCTCCAGCAGCAACTTCTTCCCCTCCCTCCCGTTATATCTCTCTTTTTCCTCCTCCCTCCTACCTCTGCCCTGTTCACCACAACCCCCTGTCTCCCACCACAGCCTCATCATAGCCCCCTTTCCCTAATCACTCTTCCCTCTTCCTCCCTCTTCATCATTCACCGCTGCCTTCTTCCCCGTTCCCCGTGCACCACTGCCTTCTTCCCTCTTTGCTGTTTGTCTATGTTTATGAGAATAATAGATGCCTGCTATAGTGAATAGCAACTACCTTTTTGCTATAGTGAATAAGTAGTAAAATGACCATTATTGTTGCTATTGCTATAGTGTTTAGTGCTATTTTGATGTGATATTTTAGTTTTAGCTTATTTTTATTAATCATGATATATAATTTTTAAATTAAAATATTTGGGAGTGTCCCGCTTTGCTTGAGTGAGCGCCTAGCGTTTTTTACTACATTGATTGAAAGCACAAAAAAAATCCTCCTACCACGTTGATTAAATTGATACAGAAGGATTACATTTTAAGTTTGAAACAGGAAACATGCTCCTACAAAGCAAAACACATTCATCTGAAGGTCTTATAGTTAAATTACAGGAATGAAGACTTTAATTAAACTCCACGGAAGAAGGATCAGCACAAATGAAAATAGAGGAGAATCTGAATGCAACAAAATGGTCCTTCTAAATTTTTCATCAATCATCGATATGCTCTATTTTAGAATGGCACATCGCATCCTTCATGTAGACTTGACCCTGGTTTCGGAACCTGCAGCACCGGTTTCAGTTTGAAACACCGATTTTTTTTAATAAAAAAAAATTAAAATAGGATAAATCATAATTTAAAATAAGAACAACTCATATATTTCTTTTAATCATGAACCGTTGGTTCGAATCGCCGCTCTTGTCTCGTTCCGATTTGGCTTGGAACCAATGAACCGCCAAGCCGATTTGATTTCATTTCCAACCTGGATTAGTTACGGTTTGAACCGAACGGTGGTCAGGGCTACTTTCAAGATGGATATGACTGCATTACTGTCCCATAATATCTTTAGTGGCTTACCAAAATTATCAATAATCCAGAGATCAAAACAGCATGTTTTCCAGCCTCAAAATAAGAGTAATATTCATCCTCTATTGTGGACAAATGATGTACTTGTCAATATCATGCTTCACCATGAAATTGTGCCTTCAGCCATTGTGGAAATATGTCCCAGTTCCATGGTTCACTAAAGGGTATCTTCACAACCTTCAGAGTCAGAAGCAGAATACACCAAGCACAGGTAGAGATTCCACTAAATAAAACAATTTTAATCTTTGTCCACTTTAAATATTGAAGAACCTTCTTAACTCCTCTCCACCTACTTGCATCAGGCTCATGATGCTGACCACGTACCCCAACTGCATAGTTGAACAAGGGCATGTCACTGAATAAATGAGGCTAACAATAACAGAAGCATAAGGTTACTCGTCTCTACTCTTTCAAGTTCCTCTCCAGGATGCTGGCCAAGATTTAATTTTTCTTTCTTATACTAGGTAACTGATCTGGACTTCAATTGATTCCATATCTTTTATGAATTTTATCAATATATTCATCTGAAGAAATACCAAGCAATTGATGTTCCTGTTCCTAAACATTTGGATTCCAGAATGCTGCCCAAGATTCAATTTATCTTTCTTATGCTAGGTGATTCACCTGGATTTCAGTTGGCTTGATTCCATATCTTTTAGGAGTTTTATCAATATATCCTTCTCAAGAGATACCAAGCAACTAATGTTCCTCTTCCTAAATATTTGGATTCCAAGATTTATCTATATACCCTTCTCAAGAAATACCAAGCAAGTAATTCTAGGGATGAAGGCTTTGTAACTCAGCATGTTTCACACATGAACGATGGAATTGCAGTATTCGAAAATTAAAATGTGACCTTACATTATTCACACATGATGTGAAAAAGGACTTCAATTCCTTCATTATTTGATCTTATACTACAAACTTTTTCTCTCTTTTTTAAAGACTCCAAGTACAAGAAAAACATGAAATACAAAAATAAGAAAGGATCACAATTACATCAAAGTGAATCAATTATATAGACTCTTCCTTCTTCGAATAAAATAGATTTCTATATCTGATTTGTAAAATGTTTCTCCTTCTTTATGATATATTTAATTGATAGATTTCCATCTCTTTAGTATAATGAAACTTCAATCTTCTATAACTTTCAATCGAACCAAGTTCTGATTCTCTTTTTCTTCATTGTCTTCTTTTTTCTTCTATTTGGATAATCTAGAAACTAGATGTTGCCAAGTGGCAACTTATGATATTTACAAAATACTTCTTAAACTAATCAAATTTATTCAAACTAGAAACAAAGATATTTTATTTCTGAAATATCTTGCATAAATCTTATTATTACATATAGTTGTAGGAATCTTAAGGAGATAGATAAATTGCATTAGATGGTCAAAATTCATGCAGACTTAATTTGATGCATTTGTTGTGTTTTCCTAAGCACCTAAGCAGCACGAGGTTAGCCCAAACGCTCAGATGTCTGGCAATTTAGGAAGCTTTAGTTTAGGCCACAGGCATGGAAGCTTAGCTACCAAGTGCCTAAAAACCGACTTCTACATTGGCAGATATGTTATAAGTAACTATTACTACAGAATGAAGAAATTAGGTTAACTTTGGACAGAATTGCATTTAAACTCTAAATTACTATTAGTTATCATAAAAAACTTGAAACAGGAATGAGAAGCCTTTTGCAACGATTCATGTACGTCTGTTAAAGAACTTCAACAAGTAAGCATCTGAATTCTAAAATTAACTATTTTGCTTGGTCATATGTACATCTCGTCTGCTTTCTTCCAGGTTGCATGGAATTCATTGTTGTTTAACAAGCTAGAAATTTGAAAAGAAGTAATTAAGGAAACCCAAGTGAGTGGAAAATTTTCATGTCATTATCACACTGCAGAATATCTACAAACACTTAAAGATCACTTTAACACATATAATGCCTACATGTTGCATAAAGCCTCCGGATAAACAGAGTTAGTACTCACATAATTGAGGAAGCAACTGACATGATCGAATTAGATGGCAGTTATAATTTGACGACAACACTGCAGTGTTGTCAGTCGGATCGTAGATGGGAGATGGACGACGCAGAAGCAAGGAGCATCTCCGCAAAGTAACAACACTGCTTCCTATTGCTTTGCGGTCCGATGCCTCTCTATTGTTCGACAAATGACTTCACTCAACGAAGCATAGAAAGGTACGAAACCAAATTAAAGAAACCAGAACTCCCGTAAGCGTTACCCGAGTGTATTCAGCCTTCCATAACAAGCAACTCCGGCGATTCCCGCGTTACATGAGCGAAACGAACGACGATCAAGACAGAAAAGATAGGGAACTCACCGACCTAGCGGAACGCTTATGATGTGATTCAACTCGATCCCGTCGATGCGACCGCAGAGAGTAAGGTTTAGGTTAGCTTCCCTTTTTATACTAAAATTATTGGGAACGGAAGTTTCTGGATGAGTTGGACTATTTGGTGAAAAGGAATGACAAGGGTATATATATAT